ATGCTGAATTTCATCAAAAATTGCCGAACTCTATGCAAGACCAGCTTATGTAAAATACAAGTTGTTATCTCGTATTCCAAAAGACGGCATTGTTATCGATGCTGGAAACCTGTGTGATTTGAGTTGCCTGTCCTAGGGAGTGTCGATTGAACTAGACGTCATTTCCAGACGGAAACACCACCATTTCACACTGCTGCATACACATACTGCTCTTCTTCGTCTGATAGGAACGGACTGTGCACTTCACTTCATAGTCTTCTTTTCTCTATTAGTTGAGTGTATCTATCGTTCTATAGGTGTTACAATTCGCAGAGGACCGACTTTTGACCAACCTCGGCCTCGCTCTATGAGCTGCAAAGCCTTTGATATGCCGACCTGACGTCGTGAACCTCCTTCTTCATACCCTACGCTTATTTTTACATAAATATATATACATGTTTATACATTATTTATATTATCATTATATTATTATATTATTATATTATTATATTATTATTATATTTTTATTATTTATTAATATTGTTTATATTATTATTTTTATAATTTATATTATTATTTACATTATTTATATATTTATTTTATAGTTATATTTATTTGTATATTTGTATATTTATTATACATTTATATATACGTGCTTGTAAATAAATACATTTGTATATACGTTCTATTTTGTCAATAATACACTTTTTTCCTCTTCGTTCTCTCATAAAAGTCGGTTTTCTCACTTTCAGAAATTCATAAATCTCTACCTTTACGTTCACACAGTTGGGACGAAAATAATCTTATTTGGCAAGAGGTTCATCTTTCGCTTTGTTGTTGACGACATCTTCATCATTTTCAGTTCTTCCTTTAAACATCCACTGAGCAATAAGAAGACTGTGCTCCACAATATTACTGTTTCCTTCAATAAAAGATTTTTGATATATGGTCTTTTTTTTGAAATAGAAGTGATCGTATAATCGTCTGGACGCTTATGATTTGAACTATATCCAATTTGTAGAAGAGTGCACAGCGTGCAAAACGGGCAGCTGACCAAAAAATGCTCCGTTTTACTCACTCTGTTAACTCTTTTTCATTTCATGTTGAGTTAATTAGAGTATCATAGGCGTAATCGCAGGTAAGAACCGTCCTGAAGCTCTTAGGAAGCTCATAATCAAAATAAATGGGCGGTATTCGTTAATCATCAAGTTGGAGGAGAAAGTGCTTAGCGTATGCTGGCACAGAATGACAGCATCAATAACGACGATGGCTTGCCGGGTGGCAAAATGACGAAAACAACATCAAGGGGATTTACAACATTGCTGATGCCGAAAAGTGTTTTTACGCCCTATTTTGTTTCTACTTCAAAGAATAAAATAAAGCTTTCGGCGCTGATCAATTCCTGAGGAATGCACTGGGCGTTGGACTTCATTAATCATCGTTCGGAGGTGATTAATTAAATGCCTTACCGATGTATCGAGTCAGTGCTGCTATCCTCCCAGACAAGTCTGATACCAGTTTGGCTACGCCGGAGGGATGGAAGGCTTCGTGGGCTATGAGCGCGAAGATCAACTCAACGTGTGTGTTGCAGGGCGCATCCGACCACTGCGCCAAATGCGTCCCTTGTTTCCACTTTATAATACTTATTATGAGTCTAAGTACTAATGGGTTATCCTTGTTAACAATTGTATAGCTGGTTTGTTATTGATCATGTTCCTTTAGATTAAGCCAGCGTGTATAGTATTTTTACCATACTATGTAATATAATAACCTATAGTAGCTTATACAATACTTGATACCTACTTGATACCTGAATGGCCCGTCCTCACTGGTTGTGTGGGCTCCAACATAATCTCCATTTTTCCGAGATTTGCTGGTTAAGCCATTATGGTTCCCTGGCGTCCCAAGGTCGGCCTGGCCAATGTCTTCCCCAGGTCGTCATCACCACAGGCAGTCGCAGCCCTTGTGGATCAGAGGAAAATTTACCACCGTGCGATTTTGGTACCAAAACGATGGTGGATCCTAGTATTGGTTTATACGGAGTTTTTATACGATTTATACGATTTTTATAGCTTATCAATAACTTTGCCGTGGTGATTTCAACAAGTTCGAAAGAAAATAAGCGAAGACGTCGATGTGGTGGGAAATACATCATAGAAACTATTGGGATTCAAAGAAGAAAAAACTTTTCTCCTTTCACATCATTGACCAATCCAATGTGGCACGAGAAAACCGTACTACTTTCTTTCTTCCTCTCTCTTTCTGTCGTTTTTCCTTCCTTTTCTGTCTCTCGTTTTCTAGAATTCTTCTGCCGGTTCACTATTTACTGGTCATTCGCTAATCCATGGACATCGGCACTTTTCAATCGCTCTAGTAATATAAGTTAATTAAAGCTTGAATATTCTACGATTTTCTAACCCATGGACGACTCCTTTGCGGCTAGTTTCCAGTGATAACTGGAGGGCTTAAGAACAACTTAAGTTTTTGGCTGAGCAGATTGCATGTCAATTTGGCTCTCGCAGGCTGTGAAGAAGGCGAAACAATCGAGAGGTGCAGTTTGCCTCTCCCTTCTTGATGAGGATAGGGACTGGAATCCATCAATTACAATTAAACAATTGCTTGCTGAAATACAAGATCTACTTGATAATCCACCTCCCTCTGATGCACATCGTGGTGAGGACCTGGATACGCTCTTACAAGGCTACGTAAGGACTCCAGGGACGACCACGCTGCACGACCAGCAATAGGCCAGCCTCAGTACCCCGCGTACTAGGTGCTCCCGCGTATGACGTCAGGCGGTGAGACGACCGGTGAGAGGCCAGAAAATCACGGGTTACGCATGACGTCATTGGAACAGGATCTGACGAACGCACGCACGACACGCCATGGAGATTGTTTCTTACTATGCGCGTATAATGCCAAAACACTCTCCACAGACGCCGATCTTCACGCTCTTCTTGTGGTCGCAGATCGAATTAAATTTCATGTGATTGCATTACAAGAAGCAGAAATCAAGAAGACCGACATATGCCAACTAAACAACGGGACCCTTGTGATCCGCGGAGAAAAGGTCCCGTCACGAAATGTCGGTGGCGTAGGCTTTGTCATCCACCCGTTAATTCTCCATCTCGTCGACTCATACGTGATCCTTTTCCTTCGCATAGCCGCACTCCGTCTTCAGCTGTCGCATCATAGGAAAATCACTATCATCAACTGCTACTCACCGACCGACGTAGCTGATGAGAACGAATTAAATGCGTTCTACTATCAGTAGGAGGAAGTCAATGATAAAGCTTGTCATAAATCTGTTGCTGGAGACTTCAACGCCAGAATAGGAAAGGCCAACGAGAGCGAATACAAGATCAGAAATTTTAGATTAGGAGAAAGAAATGAGAACCGTCTCGCAAGACTCCTGTCAGCAGCACGTCTCTTACATGGAAACTCGTTCTACCAGAAGAAAGAAAGCCGTCGCTGAACATGGGAGTCTCAAAACGGCATGAATCATGCGGAGATCGACCATATCCTGACAAACAGAAGATGGTGCCTACTTGAAACATCGGTAATCCCGTCATTCTATACTGGTTCCGATTACCGCCTTCTTCGCGCGAAGATTCCATTCAGCCGCAAGCTGGAAAGGAGTTTTCTTCATCGACCACGAGAAAAAAGTTTAGCTGTATACGACGAGAACACCCTGAACGAATTTCTGTCCAAACGCGACAGGCAGATTATAGAAGACCAGACCGAAAACTACGAGCTGCGAGTCGAAGCACTGAATAGCTGTGCCGAATTAGCCTTAGTTCCTCAAGCAAGAAAATCGGATCGCATCTTCATCACTACTAAGGAGTTGCTCAAAAAGAAAAGGAAACTGAAGCTTGATCCTACTGCAACACGTTTAACACAGTTAGTAATAAATGCTAGCTGCAGAAGTGCTTTGCAGGAAGATCTACAACGTTGCAAGCAGAAGAAAATACTAAAAGCAGCAGAAAAAAGAAGCAGTCTGAAAAAATGCCGTCAGCACTTGTGTGATTGTAATGCTCCGCTGTCGGCCCTGATTAACGAAGATGAGATCGTCAAAACATCCAGCCATGATATGGAATTAATAGCGGAAGCATTCTACACCAACTTTTCTGTTCACAATCTCCGTCCCGTGCCCTAATATCACCGCTGGAGGAAAACCACATGGAATTCCTCTATCAGAGGTTCGAGTTGCGATAGAAAGCATGGAAAGAGGCACAGCTCCAAAACCCGATAATATGACTGCCGATTCCCTTAGAGCTGGAGGCCACAATTTACAAGTACTTCTCGCAAATCGTATGACAGGCTACCTTCAAAAGGAGAAAATCCCAGACCAGTTGGGGATGTCGCGCACGCTTATCCTACCCAAGAAAGGAGACCGAAGAGGTTTGCGTAACTATCGTTCTATATGCTTGTTAAGTGTACTCTACAAGCTCTTCACGAAGATTATCCTCTCGCGCATATCAAGGACATTGGATGAGGCGCATCCAGTTGAGCAAGCAGGTTTTCGAAAAGGATTTTGTTGCATGGACCACATCCGAACCGTGTCCAGGGTCATCGAAGTTTGTCGGAAGCCGCACTAAAACAGGTAACTAAGTCCCCCCATTTAGATGAGAAAGGCATACGTATTGATGGACAATTCCTATCAAACCTTTGTTCCACCAACGACATTGTCATCTTCTCAAAAAGTACTAGCGAATCAGAAGTGGTAATCAACAAGCTCAACAAAGCGGGGAAAAAGATCGGACTTCGCATAAACCGAAAGAAGACCTAGTCCATGAAAAACCCATGGTGCGAAAGCGAAAAAATTGAATTGGATGGCTCTCTTATTGCGGAGACCACCTCGTACGTTTACCTTGGGCGATCAATGAACATGGAAAATAGCATGAGCGAAGAACTAGATATAAGAAGAGAATAGCTTGAACAACATTTGGGCCTCTTAAAGAAGCCACTGACCAACTGAAGGACCCGAAAATCCGCGCTGCAGTTGTATAACAGATCACGGTATGAGACTCACAAGCGCTGCCATGATCGAACAAGACCACCACCATGGACTACGATTGCGAGAGAAGGAAACGAATGGCATATGTGCTGGAGTCCGCACAGCTCGTGAAGACGGACCGTCCAAGTATCCAAGTAAGTATTCTACGATGACGATGACAATCGTTGCGGACTTATCTACCTGAAATTTGAAGGTGGCGGCTGTCAACAGCGGATTATACCTGCTGCGCTGTTCTGAGGCTGATTCGTAGATGAACAACAATATCGTTGTGGAAATGAGAGGATGGATAACGAAAAACTATCAAAAGAAACTATACGTCGTTGGAAACCCATATATTTTTCGAAATTTCGCTACAATTATGCTGAAAACTTTTGAAAGTGGAGACCAAGAGATTGGGTTCAGACTGATATTTCGGCAAAGGTTTTCCTCTACACCACATAGTAACAGGTTTCTACTTTACAGTTTTATCTTTTAAAGTTAATAAACATCTTAACTAACACTTCAAGTAGTGCTAAACGTACTGATATTTTTGCAACCGAACAACTTTTTGCGCTGAATTTTCTTAAGTACCACAATGGTCGATCCTTGGGAGTGGAACTGACTAGAGCAATTGCTCTTGTTATATCTTACTGTTTGTGCAAGTTTTTTTTCAGGATCCCTGAATTAGCGGCTACAATTACCGCGAGATGTTACCATAGAGAGAATCGTCCCGACCTCACTCGGGATCACAAAGAGGCATGCCTTCTTGTTTCTTCATGTCTTCAAGAATATTGAGGGAGACTACAGATGGATGTGATGCAATTTTTTTGTTCCATCGAGAGAAATATGTTTATCTTATACTTATTTGCGTATTTGAAATACCATATTTTCTAACATTATGTCGTGTTCAAAACACCCACAAAAAGGTAGTCTTATCATAAGCACTGAGTCGTCGCTCGTTAGTAATGGCTGAGTGACTATCTTTAATGATGATGAGATATTTGCAAAACTCGGGACCGCAGGTGTTTGCGGTGGGGAACCAATGCGCTATTGTCCTTTCCGACCTTTCCGAGGAGTGACGCGCTCACCACCACACGATGCGGGTCCTTCGTTTCGCCTGTCTCTCAGCTAGTTCTATCGATCTTTTGCTATCAGCAATCACACGTCAGCGAGATTGATTTGGAGAACCCAAATCGGCAACGAACCCAGTTAAGCTGTGGCTACAGTTATAATCACAATTTCAGGTAATAATAAGTTAATAAAAGGAGTAGACAGTTAATAATAAGTTAAAATTCTGATTTTTCGCTTACAGTGAGCAACTTTGCGATGAATGACGATCAGCGAAATCCATAGAGGATTTCTGGTCTTCATTACAAGCGCTTTTAATTCCAAAGCAATCCAACAGCATTTAGAGTCTGTTGTACAGTATTTGCGAAAAAAAAGTTTGTAACCAATCATGTTCAGTACAGGGTATGTGTACCGCAGATGTTTGGTATGTTCTTCAATACACCTGATCTTCGGTTCTATCCCGTATCTTGGACAAGCCGGCATCTTGAATGACGGATTTGATATCAGCCGTGTGTCGGAGAAGAAAGACACCAACTTAATTTATCGATAGCTAACCGCAAGTCATTGTAGTGGCAAGTCATCACCTCTAGATGCTGTGAACGTAGTTGAATATGTGAGGTATCCCTGGAAAGTGAATCAAAGCAAACAGGTTTACGTTTTTCTTCTGTGACCATACAGAATCGTAACATTCATTGCGTCGCCACTCAGAACGTATGGCTGACTAACATCTTTAACATCTCTGTGTTGTGACATGTCGTCTAATGACCTTCAAATGTATAGTCTAATTAGTTGTGAATCAGAGAGGCTAAGACGAAATAGCATTGTACCAACGAAAATTCTAGGTCTCGATTCCGCACATTGCTCGCACAGGTTAACCACGGCGGAGCTCTAAACGTTTATACCAGAGAAAAGCGGTCAATCGCTACTGACAGCACACTTAAGTTCTCGAGTTAAACGAAAGCACCAGTGCACGCAAGTGCTCCAGTAAAACCGAATTAGGCAAGAAAGTCATTGCAAAGAAAGGAAGAGAAAAAAGACATTTAAAATTGCTGCAACTATCTTTTATGAGTGAAGTTTTTAGCAATTTTAGGCCACTGGTAGGAAATTCGAGCCGAAAAATCAAGAGTTTCAATCAGTATTGCTTAATTATCGATAGAATTCGTCAACTTGCCTCAATGTCGGGCAAATCATTCAAACCTGGGAAGGAAGATAACACTTTAGAAAAAGAAAAAAATGATCAAAGTTAACTCCCACGACCGACTTTCTATTAACCTCGGCATTGATCGAGTAATTCTTCGTATTTTTGTTGAGCAAACGCGAGGTGTTATTGATCAAAGTTATTCTGACTCTATTTTTTACCTTCAGGTTTTTTTATGACAACACAAAAAAATCTTCTATCCGACGTTGGATTTTCCAGTTTTTGGGTTGCACTGCATACAATGCGATAAGAATGCTGCGTGGTACTCACAAGAGGAACATGAACGTCTCGTCGAGCAGTGCCAGCACGGCTTGGTGCCGTCGACTCCGTGCGGGAATCACTCACACACTCACTGCATTGTCAGTTGGTATCGAAGCGGAGGCAGTGATGGTACGTGAAAAGGAAAATGATTAATTCGCTGATCGATTGATTGATTGGTTGACTGGTCAGTCGACGAATGTTCCCATTCATTTTCACCTGTTGATTTTTCATTCATCTAGATTTCTCATATAACCTCAGTTACTTGCTTATTTCTTCAACATTTTGTCAAACGACTCCGAAACTCGAGGCGTTATAAATGAAGTGACTGGATAGTTAAATTTGTGCAGTGATAATTTTTTTCCATCCGAGGCTAGATTTTTTCTAAAAGTCTCATTGTTAAAATCATTTTTTCCTTCAGAATCCTGCTGTACAAACGCGATAGAGAACTTCTCATTTCGATTTCATGAGTCGCATTTCTTATCCAGATTGCAACAATCTAACCAGAAACGAGAGTTCATTAAGTTTTGCTTGTATAAAGCAAGTAACCCAACAATTGCACATGGTTTTACTCGAATTATGAGCATTCTCTCATGATGGTTGGGGACGTTCCTGGATGTCGCCTACAGTGAATAATGAAGATTTAACCTCAACAGAGGCACCTTCCGAGGGAAAAAAAAGTTAGAGTTCCTTTAATGATTAGAGCTCAATGAGTAGTTCTGATGTTCAACAGTAGTGAATGTGAATAGCTAAGTGCTATCTTTCGAATTATGTGACTAATAACGGGGAAACGTCACAACATCATGTCTGTCTATTTCTCAGCAATGTAAAACTAAGCATTTTAGTAAAAGTGACTGGAAGCTGGGACTATTTTGATGGCTCTACCAGACATGTTTTACGTCTGAAATTTTCATATTGGAGGGCTCTAGACCGAAAAACTGCCAAGAATCAGTCATTTTATAGCACTTCTGCTCTCCGTCGGCAGTTAGTTTCTCACCACGAACGTCCTTCATTTAGCCGGTTTGATGGAGGATGCGGGTACACGTCGCCAGAGGCGTTCATCTGCGGCGGTCTAGTTTTCTTTGTTCTCTCGTCACCCAACAGCTACTTATGGGTTTCGGTGGCTTCTCAGAGTGCCACCATGAAAAAGCTAATGATCGAACTGATAGAGTGGTTGAACGAAGGAAACAACGACAATTCTTGAAGTCCGTGGATGGTTTTGTTCTCTAAATATCTCCACGTAAACTTTTTCATTTACTACGAAAAACGCCATGCATTTGCAAATAGCGCGGACTTTTTCTAGATGTCATAGTGACGAACCGAACTTCGAAAGTCATACATTTCCAATTCTCCCTCACCAAGGAAATCCAGAAATGTCTCTTCTAAGAACATAGAAAGTAAAAAAAAATCGAAAATGATTGCCGATTACGTCATTTACGACGATAACGACGTTACCGTTCGATTATGAGTAAAACGATCTATAACTCTTTCGGTTAACTTTGCCTTTATTTCGTTCCAATACTCTCTTTCTCTCACTTTCCCTCTCTCTCTTTCTCTGCATCTCTTTCCCTCATTGTCTCACTAGTTTGCGCTCTGCTAAAGTGTTCACCTCGATCATAATATCAAACTCTATAAACACCATATTGTTCATTTCAGCACTGACCCGTCCGACGCGCCTGGTTTGACACCATTCAATTAGACTCGTCCTCTACTAAGTGCTGGGGCACGCGGTCATTGCTATACATCCACAACAAATTATTTGGAAATGGTTGCGCCTGACAGGTGGACCGCACTTATGTAGCTCCGAAAATATGTCATGGGAAATGATTCCGAAACATGAAGGACTTGGTGGGCAAAAGGGCGCGAGGTCGATCCAAAAAGGACGTTGTAAAACACGGCACCGCCAATCACTTCGATACATGCATCCCTATATGTAGAGATGGCTAAGCATAGTGTAATGGTGCAGGTATACTATATGGTTGGCTAAATTCCTGAGTATTGCGCACCCATATTGACCGCATATCAGTTTATCTTTCGATCCTGTGTATCCCTAAATCCTTCATTTCTTCCCGTTGCACTCCGGAACGCCGTTGGCCCGATGCTCCTTTCCAGACGTTTGAAATAAAGTCCTTTAGTTTTCCTGAATTCGTGGGGAAGTTGTTACAGTTAGCTCTCCGTGAACCGTTGTGCCATACGTTTACTGCGTTGATAAACTATAAGATAGAAATATTGAACTCCTCAGCTTGAGTAAATCTATTGAAGGATGAACTCTCCGCTGTATCTCGCACAAGTCGGCATTCAAGAAATGTTCATGCCTAAAGCCCCATTAATTCACATGCACTTCAGCAAAATCTAACTATCTAACTTTTTTTATAGCATAAGCAATAAATTCTAAAAAAATTGAATAATTAGAAACTCTTCTAAAGAATGAGGGTTCGATACAGCAAAAAGTTGTTTAGAAGGTATCGCTGAAAGCCTGTTTCAACCACAACCTTGAAAAGTGTCTTAAGTTAGGGTTAAGTTAATGTCACGAAAAAGATTTTTCGGCCAGATGTAACGGTGACTTAGTAATCCTTCGCTGTTGGAGAGGTTTTGAATAAGGACTTAAATTATGGCTTTTTTAATGAACCAGCCTGTGTACTTTCCTAGTTTCCTTAGATTGGTGGTAATCAATGAAGGCCTACTACCTGTTATTCGTTATTGATTGTCTTCTTCATCTATTAACATAGTCATTTCCATACCAGTTCATCTTTCAAAGAAAACTACTGTGAGGCAGAAGGGTCATTCGTATTTCACATAAATCAAAATCCGTCCACATTTGAGCCACACTAGCATTTGTTGTCCGAAAATCAGCTCATGTTTTCCACAAAGACCGAACGACTGTGTAAGGATTCGTTTCATTTTTCAAAGTCTTCAAATGCTGCCATCGTCAATGAGAGCGGGTTGTTTTCAATCTTCTCCATTTCCACAATGAAGCATTTGAAGCCAACTAAATATGCTTTTCTTTCCTTATCTTATCCATTGGCCTGGACTAAGCAAAGGTTAAAACAAATTATAACGATTTATTAGAAGAAGAGGGCGTCAACGTTAGCAAAAGAAAAGCCAATCTCAAATGACTTTAACACCTTTTTGTTAACATTGAAATTTACTATTATGCCTTAGAAAAGGTTCATATTTATCTTCAGAAAAAGTTGTGATTGAACGGAAGTGTGGTGGAGTGGAGGACGTGACTGGATGCACTTTGTATAATTCAAAAATCTGTCAAAGGTTAGTACTCTGAAATCTGCAGTGATCGATTACTGTTTGCATTAGTAAGTTACACGTTACACATTGGGTACCACTAAAGTTTTCAAATTGCATAAAAAGTAACTTTGTTGGAAAGGAAAGAATGTATCTTTCAAAGGAATAAACGGTTTGACCATGAGGATCTCAAGCCAGATCGTTTCCAGATGGCCCTATTTCTGGTCTCATAGATTACAGCGGAATTTGATGTCTTGCAACTAGTTTTTTGCCAGTAGCGGTGACTCCTCGCAATGATTTACCTCTACGTTGGCTTTTAAACGAAGATTTTGAACTTGTTGCATGGCTATTAATGCCTTCAGTTTACCCCGAAATTCTGCAACCAGGAATAGCTTCGACAACAAAGACATAGGTCGTTTCGGTCAATGGAAATATCCACTAAAAATAAGCTAAACGAATGCTATTATCATTTGAAGAATATCTCAGTATTTATTCACTGTCATTCTTTTTTCGTGATTGGATACTGTCTGAAACACAACTACAGGGTTGCTCCATTGGACACTGTTAAACTGATGTTGCAGTACAAATAACATGTCTTAACTTTATTTACTGCCTTTTGATTCTCCTTAATGAATCATTGCTGGTAGCGTTAATAGCGTAAAAAGACTAGCTCGGCAAAGCAAGGCCATCGGTTGGTGTGGGGAATAACATATGAGCCCCGGTAAAGGCAAACGCGGGTTCGAAGCCCGCCTGATGTTCCGAGTTTTACTCATCTCTAGGCATCCTTGTGGTTGTATTTCACTCTGTAAACAGTTTCTTGTTCATTGTAAACGTGGAAGTGATGACACCGCTGATGCGGAATTTGGCACTTGGCGTACCATATATATGCATACGAATCTAGTATTTAGGTACGTCACCTCTTATCAAAAGTCCATTCATCAGGAACTGTTCGAAGGGAAACGTCTTCGTTCTACGTGGAGGTGATTATTCAGAATATTTTCATTATTTATTTATTTATTTGGAAATAAAGCCGTAATAAGAGCAAATATCCTGTGAAGAAAAAGAACCTATTTGTTAAAATTCGAGACTTGTTTTTCAAGCTATATGCCAATCGCCTATTTAGAACAGAAATGTTCCAGATATGCAGCGAATCATGTCCACGCAGAGAGTGCTTGAGTACGGTGCGAAAAACGACCGTGGTTAGCGTATCGCTTACGCTACTCGCATTGTTACACTTCCTTTGACAAACTTCTGAGACACAACGGTACGGTGTCGGCCGCTGACTGGACCGACAACGATGCAAAATATCTACGGATTTTCACAAATACGTCGCATTTAATGCGGTTATATACGCTACACAAGGACGTGTGTAGCGCAGTTGTTAGAGGTGCCCTGAAATGCACATAAATTCGATCCTGCGTCCCAGGCTTACCAAGCTTTTCATCCAACCAGGCTCAGCAAGTAGTAACAGACTTGGCTGGGAGGATACCAACACTGACTTGATAGATGTAATCTTCCGCGAGTCTTGTATAGGCAGATTTTCATTCAATCACCTCTGATGATGCTCAGTGAAGTCGAATGCGTGGCACATCCCTCAAGGAATGGTCAGCGCCGACAGCTTTGTTCTTTATCCTTCATGGGTTGCATATAGCAGCTGAAATCGACATGTCGACTGATGCTGTTCAGTGCGCTCTTCATTTTTAATACCAATTTGCTTTGTTAAACGGGTCCACTTCATTGATTCACTAATAAAACGACAGATCTATGTTTTAAAGCTATTTTGGTCTCATTTTTCCTTTTATATTTTTACTACTTTGTTTATCACTTGAATAATCAAACATGTTTTTCTCGTTTTTGCAAAAAAAAGTGGTAAGATTAAGTAAGGCAAAATACAGGAAGAAATCCTCTAATTTCGTCGAGACAATGACGCTGAATTCTGGCAGCACGAAGTCGCAAAAGCGAAAATTGCAACATGGGCTGTTTAAAGATCGATCCCCCCGCTCTCTTTCAACTAAAATGCGCTAGCGAATGTTTTGCTGCCATCCTTGGGATAAACCGGAGAACTTAGGGCATTGGTCAAGTCGATTTACAAAATGATGTGTGTAAAGATGAGAGAGCTGTAAAATAATATTGTATGCAATAGGATCAAACCTTCACTTTTTCAAGCTTTCCCAGTACAATAACTCTTTTGCAGTGTTTTTCTAGACACTCTTTTACACTTCTGTGCATAAATCAACAGTTCGAACGCGTTTTGTGCTCGCCCGTACTTGCCGAAATAAAGTTATACGGTGGCAAAATTACAGAGAAATGAGTGTGAACTGTTTTTTCAGGATTCGATTTCTTAAGAATCGTGAGACCAAAAGCACTGAGGTCTTGGTTTGTCTTGGAGTTCAGGTACCCACTATTGGAAAACCCACTCATCAGTGTGTTGCTCCTTGCTCAACCGTGCGAAAACCAAAATGATAGAAACAGTTTTCGTTCTGGCTTGGTAAGCAGCATGTTAAATTAGACCTATTATCAACATGTGTTTAAATTGTTGAGTCTGAGCTTAGACCTCGTTCTACGTTTTTTATTTTCATTATGTTTTACCCAACTCGGGACAGATCATAAATTTTCCATCTCGAGGTGCTCCTCTTTAGGACGAGTTTGTAGATTTCGACTATTTGTTGTTGTATCATCATCTACCTCAGATGCTTTTATTCAGATCTTTCGAAGTTTCTAATGATAATCACTGCCTCATAGGTTTTTCTTGGGTTCGTTTTTCTCACATCAACATCTTTGTGCCAATCAAATTTCTAGTACCGCAAACTTCTTCCACCTACATGTGATATACCATATCCGTTCCAGTACCACAGTGAAGTACAACATATACACTAAATGCATTTTTCACTTAGATTAGAAGAATATGTTACCGTAACCCCATTATTATTTCAAATCTTGGGGTGGAAATCCAACTGGCTTAATATGGTTTAATACCCAGTTGGCTCCGCTGTTCATTGTTGCTAGGTGGCTTCTTTGGTTGGTCCAAAGTAATTTGGTGCAGAAGTCATTTCACCTGAGTAAAAAATAAGTCCCGACACTTGCATTCGAAATCCACCTTTACGCAAAAAAAGCCTCGAAGACCTTGTGTGTGCGAGGGAGCAGGTCAAATGGATGAAGCGCTAGTATCGCTACGAGGTAATGAATGTGATGTCGAGTGATGTATTAATGGTAAAATGAAAGAAATCTAATAGAAATTTTACAGCAAGAATTTAAATTTTGGGAATTGATGGGAAGAGTTGAGAATTCAAGAGACTCTAAGTTAATTCCAAAGATCTATCGGATAACCTCGACGGTTTTCATCGTCATATTAGGATTTTGATGCGAAACCGTGAATATTAAGGTGTTCCTTTCGATTCTTTAAATGAAGGAAATTATTCTCACATAACCACAATGATACAGAAATGTTTGCAATGCTCCGGACCGAAGGTGTCTGCGGTGGAGAACGAATAGGCGGTAATAGGCAGTAGATAAAAAGTTAACATTGTGACTTTGATTATGGCCTCAACTTAACTAGGTTCGTTGCCGATTTGGGCTTCCTAGGTCAATCCCATTGACGGGTGATTGCTGATGGCGCTGATCGATAGAATTTACTGAAAGATAGGTGAGACGAAGGTCCCGGATGGTGTGGTGGTGAACGCCTTGGTCCCCAGAAAGGGTAATAGCGCCTTCGTTTCCACCGCCGACAACTGCTGTCCGGAGTTTTGCAAATATCTCAGCATCATTGTGCTTGTTTCACACATAATACCCTGCGGTAAAAAAATTGTAATAGGTAGTAAATAAAAGGTTAACGTAGTGTTCTCATATATGTTATCGTGGAATGATATTGGTGGTGTATCCGCTTGGTTTTCTCACTTGATGTAAACATTTCATGCGAATATCCTGTTTTGTTGATCAACCAAAACCAGGTTGGTCGAATACAACAGGCCGTTGATTATTCATGTTACGAGAGTCACACTTAAAAGAAACTAAGTGAACTGGCTCGCCGTTTAACGTCGCTTTTCTATCACTTTTTAAAAGCTAGCCTGTCTGCTTCAACTACATAGCCCGAACTGATTTCAACCCCGTTGCAACAAAATTGATTTTAGTTGGAATAGAAGAAAGATAAATGTCTCCGAATTCAATGTTTCGTGGTGTCTGAGTCTGCTCGTGAATTGCTTGTTTAAACTTTTTGAACTAGAAGGCTTTTATACTGCCTTGAGCACCAAGCCACCTCTTGTGTAGTTGTCATTAGTTTCCGCAATGAACCTAAAGTGTTTTAACGTGGTCGACCTACAAAATACAAAATCCTTGTATTTAAATACGCACCCGCAAATAGTTAAGAATGTTATTTTACGTATACGGAAAGCAATAATAATCGCCGACGCACTGAAGGCAGAGAAGCTTTACAGTGCATCCATTTGCACCACAAAATCATTACAATGTTAGACAGTTAATTGGCTCTTATCGGGTTCCTAGCCACCTATCAGCCACCCGGAGAGACGTCACTCCGCCTAGCAACTGACCAATCTGAGATCCTTCGAATGGGGCATGTATCTCTACATATTTGTTTCCCTCTGTGATTTGAGCTCCAACGAAATAGAATTGTAGAAGAGATTATTAGAAGACATTTACTAAGACTTTTTCACAGCTTTCTGCTTCTTCACAAACTAGAAGATCACATTTCTCTGCCGTTTACTTAAACAAGCATTCCCAGTCCTTCACTCTCAAGTTTACTAGCATTTTATTATCTGATTAACTCGTATATAATGCTGAGATATTTTCAAAACTCCGGACCGCAGGTGTATGCGGTGGGGAACGAATGCGCGCTGTTGTCCTTACCGGGGAGCAGCGCACTTCACCACCACACCATCCGGGTCCTTCGCTTTGCCTGTCTCTCAGCTAGTTCTATCGATCTTTTGCCAACAGCAATCACCCGTCAATGGGATTGATCTGGCGAACTCTAATCACTAGCTGAGAGATAGGCGAAACGAAATACACGGATGGTGTGGTGGTGAAGTGCGCTACTCCCCGGTTAGGACAATAGCGTGCATTCGTTCCCCACCGCATGCACCTGCGGTAAGGGGTTTTGCAAATTTCTCAGCATTATCTACGAGTTGTATTTCGCAACATACCCTGCCATTAAAAAGAAAAAGGCAGTAAATAAGAGGGTTAAGATATCTGAATAACTACAAGCGCACAATGTGAAAGCTTTTACAATGTTCTGATCAATTTAATAAGGAGTCGGAACGATCCATAAACCTTATATACTAATCTTATTGAGCTGGTGCGAGGTTGGTGAAAGTTTTCGCTGCTGTTGTTGTTGTTGTTGTGGTTGTTGTTGTTGAGTTTCACTTGTAAGAGCGTTGCGCCGAGGATGGCGAAACCGCCGAAACTTCAGCCATCAACCAACCACACCACCACCAACAATAACGGCTACGAAAACTTATGCCAACCTCGCATCAGTTTAACAAGACCACTTTATTAGATCATATAAATAAATACATCAACTATTTCTGCCGAGGTTTATAGAAAGTCAGTTTTTTGAGTCAGAACAAAAGCAGTATTTAAAATGGAGGCTGTTACTGAGCAAAATAACAATGGGACGAAGCATCTATTAACTATGGAATTCTCCTCACATGCCACCACGATGGTGTTTACCACGATCATGTCCTATTCGAAAAAATGTCCTGTACACAGATCCGCTGGGAAACAGGGTGCTTTGGAGTAGCTGAACGGTGGCAACTGTTCGTAGTTAAAGTCAAAGTCATGCACTTGTTCCCGATGTCCGATTAGTGGATCCGTAGGAACACTGGCCGGTAACAGCGCTATTTTATACCCATTTCAGCCTTCCGGTTTGCAGTAGACTCGTTCTGATGTAAATTTATTTTCCGTTTCAAATCAAAGTGAAGTATGCACTCTTAGTTACCTCCTGATCAAAAAGTGACTTTCCTATCTCGACGTTCTGGTCAACCTTGAGGAACGTAAAGGCCATACCGCCACCAATAATCATTTCGTTCACCTAATCGACAAGAGATACGAAGGAATAAAGAATAGCAAGAGCCATTTTAGCAAACCTTGTCAAGCATATTCTTAATAAGTTGAATTTTGTCCGCGACTTTTGCACCACCGAGAATAGCCAAAAATGGCCTGGCAGGATCACACAGTGCCTGAAATTTCCCATGGAAGTGTTCTTTCTAGAACAAATTCGGGATTCTTCCATACTTTCCCAAAGTAAACTAGCTCGTTCTTCATCAAAAATCCACAAGCGCGCGTATCCAACTTTACACCAACCATCGAACTGAAAACCACGTGTTGGTTGGAATGGTACATCGATCATTTAGTGATAACAGCTTTGAAGAAGAAATGAACCTATGAGCCCTATGCGCAGTTCCAAATGCGTCATTAACATAGATATCACCGAGTTTAGTTAACGAAGCGCGAAATTTCTCGATGGATTCAGGTGAAGCTTTTATCTGAAAATCAAAACTTCAGTAACAAACACACAAACCATGCGCACACCACGCAATTCTTCCGGATCAAATCAACGTACCTTCTCACCACTCTCATTCACACAT